CTTCTCAGTGTATATACGCTGGGAGATGCATGCCTCTCAGTGTATATACACTGGGAGATGCATACCTCTCAGTGTATATACACTGGGAGATGCATGCCTCTCAGTGTATATACACTGGGAGATGCATGCCTCTCAGTGCATATACACTGGGAGATGCATGCCTCTCAGTGTATGTACACTGGGAGATGCATGCCTCTCAGTGTATACACACTGGGAAATGCATGCCTCTCAGTGTATTTACACTGGGAAATGCATGCCTCTCAGTGTATTTACACTGGGAGATGCATGCCTCTCAGTGTATATACACTGGGAGATGCATGCCTCTCAGTGTATATACACTGGGAGATGCATGCCTCTCAGTGTATTTACACCGGGAGATGTCTTTAAACCCCTTTAAACGGATTAAAGTATTCTTGTCTAGTGATGACCAGGTTAAGTTAATGGTCCTGGTGTGTACAATGGCCCTTGTATACAGTTAACCAACAGTCAGCATCACATCTTTCTACCCATTATTTTGTCACAGTAGGAAACATTCTGTATTTCTCAAGCAAATTTACTCTCGTTCTCTGAATACAGTAAACAAAACGTTAAATCTATCTCCTGTATTTTGTATTCAGTCAGAGTAAGAATAAATGTCCTCTCTGTTCATTGTATTCAATAAATTAAAGTTCGGTGATCATACTGTATCGTCCACAAGCCAATAGAAATAAATCACTTTGACTATTTTAGGTTATCCTAGATAATTTACACATATATTAGTATATATTATTTATTTGTGTAACTGTATTTGTTTCCCTAAATAAATTTACATCAAGTTTTAAAAGCCTCAATAATTCGAAAGTCGAAATAGATAACAGCAAATAATGTGGGAGCTTTTTTTGTAAACCCCTTGTACCGTGAGGTCCTAAGCTGTAGCGTATTTAGTTTACGCTAATCTATGGCCCTACCTGTTCTTTTTATAGTGAATAAAAACACTAAATTTTGCTACTGTATACACCTTATATACAGCAAGAAACCCAGTAATTATTGTCATGTTCCCAGCACAGTGATCCTATGATTACGTAATCGACAGGTATTTTAAATGATTCTTTTTTGAGATCTTCCAGATAGTCCAAAAATATTGAGAAGATGGATGGCTCAGGGTCGCTAATATAACTGGATTGATAAAACTCCTGTTTAAAACATCTTGGTAAATATCCTAGTACTTGTCTGTTTACATGTCGATATTTGATACCATCGTTTCCTCTTTTCCTCATTGCTTAATAAGGGCTTTAATTGTATATATTATGTCATTAGCAATATAAACGTCTCAACCCTGTTAGATCACGATCAAGTTGAGATCTCATGACAAAAAACTACTATATATGAATATATGACAAGATAATCTTAATTAGTATGTAATACGTATAGAACATGAACAGATCCTAAACAGTTGTTTAGAATAAGCTTTTTGGTACCCTATGGGCACCTTTCCAACTTTTATTTGGGAGCTGTAATGGTGAGGACTCCATCAGCGGAGAGAGACGCAGAGACCTTATCCGGCTCTGATAAACCAGAGATAGAGAACCTCCGCTCAAACGAGCAAGGACCCTTCCTGCCGGTGACGATTATGGCCCCTTCCTGTGCCTTCACGTCCAGGTGGCCGTCCACGAAGTCCTTTACATCCACTACAATCTGGGGAATGGAACGGGATATTCAAGGAGATAAGTCTAGGAAGAGGTAAAAATCAATGAGGTGACGTGAAAAGATGAGTGAGAGGGACCCAATAGTTAAGAACAGTTGTTAATACAGGGGCAGAAAGTGAGAAGCTAACGGATGGTGAAGACAAAGGAAACGGTTGTTAATACAAGCGTAGAGTGAGAAGCTGAGGGATGGTGAAGACGAAACATAAGCAAAGAATAATGAAGAGAACGGAGGATGAGCAATGACAATCTCAGGTCTCCCCCGTATCCCACAACTCAAGCCACCTGTACCCCAGACCTTTTAAGTCCCGTTTTAAAAGCATTTTTCACTTAATTCATTAGAATAATGATCCGCAAACTACATAAACTTGGAATCAGATTAACTTTCAGTTTTATAAACATTGGAATATATATCCGTGAGGTGGAGGCTAATGTACTAAAGTGGTGAAATCCTCTTGATACAAGGAACTACAGGTACTTTTCCCTTAGATCAAACCTGACTGCGCCTCATTTCCAGATCACATGACCCCTGGGAAGAGCTAAATCTACATCAGCCATGCTGTGCTTGAGGGCGGGGATATGAAAACCATTTTCTTTCGGGGATATTTGCCCACTTGCTCATTTTGCATTTCACAACAAAATTGAACATTTGAGTCGCAAACAGTGAGTCAAATGTTCAATGTTCATCACCTATTGTAAGCTACTGTTAGTTCCTAAGTGTCTTTCAGGGTTGACCATTGGGGGTGAAAGAAGCTGCCCATTTTCTATCAAGCCACGCATAACTCGAAGAGTTTTACCATGGATTGGTTAACTGATTAAAACCCTTTATCGGACAGCTTCTCATGTGAGAGTACCTAAACCCATGGGTTGAAACCCAGTTATCCAATATGTCGGCTGCTCACCGCCAGCCTAAAATATGTATTAAAATGAATTCTCAGTATATATACATTGAGAGATATACACCTCTCGGTGTATACATACCTTGGAATAATGACTGAGGTGCATATCACATGCATATATTTACCTTGTACTCTCCGTTCTCTTTAGAAACGGTAGCGGCTTGGTTGTCATCCTGTTGGACACATTGGCGAAGGTTTCTATAGGACTGGAACCTGTCGCCTTCAGTCCCCGAGCGAGACCCCCTTCGGGACATCAGTTCGTCAATAGCAGATTCGAAGTCACTCCAGACTCTTTCAAACGTCGAGTCTTGGAAGAACTTGCCACGTCTTTTGATGGGTAGTACTCGATCTCGGCCAGAGGTCGCATAAGATGTCGAAAAACTTGATGTCCCTCTATCCAAAACAGTGGGAATAATTCGCTCACACGTGCTGGCAGCTTCGCTCTTCACTGCTGTCTCTTTCTCAGTGGCGACTGTCTGGGTGGTAGTGGCTTCTCCTTCAACGTTCAGAGGAATTATTCTTGAACTTGAGCCTCTGCGACCTGTGGACGATGTGTATTCCTCTGTTTTTACACTCTGTGCGGCGCTGGTCTTAGCTCCCTCGATGACAGTTGGAATGACTCTCTCCTCCGTGGAGGACGATGACGATGTCTGCAGCTTAGTGGGGATTATTTGCTCCTCAAGCGATGTGAGAGTCGAACTGGAGGCAGACTTCGAGTCGTTACCTGCTGAGCCACCACCGCTGGTCCCAGCTTTACCCTGCAGACACAATTCAGAACTAGAGAACCGTACAAAAATATAATTTATAGCACACGAAACAAAGACAAATTTATATTAATAATTTATATAAAGCATTTTGTTAAGCTATTTCAGTTTTTTACTTTTTAATTATCAATGAGAATTTTTTTCTCACATTTTGCCTTATCTTTCTGACCTACTTCTACGAGCTATTAAATTTTTAATGCACTTTTCAATTACCTTTATGAAAAATTTCAATGAGAAAGCTGACTGTACTTCACTACCAAGACTTTGTCTCCTCAGGCTTTCGTCTCAATACAGTGATGGAACCATATCTTGGTAAGGGACATAAACATTACATACTGATAACTGGTACACAAGCCCCTTGCTCAATGATTTCTTGCGAGTAAACATTACAGACCTGTGTGGTACAGACTCTGCCTGACTTACTTTCCTGGGTGCTGTGATGGTCAATATACTTTCATCAGAAAGATCTGCCACTACACCGTCGATGACAGTATCCTTAGGAAGTGGGAAGCTGCGTCTGTAGGTCTTCTGACCAACCTTACCCTCCACCAGGGCAGAGAATCCTACCGTCTGCACCGTGAGTTCTCCACTGGCATACTCGCTCATGTCAATCACAATCTGAAACAAACGATGAATATATGATTTACCTCTTGTGTTTAGAACGTTCATGTTAATCACGATCTGAAGTAGTTAATGAACGAGTAAAATTCATAAGTTTTTACGTGTCGGAGATAGATATGAATCCTCGGACTCTTATAAACAAAAAAAGATGTAAATAATATATATAAATGCGCTTAGATGTAGGACCTGGTACGCGATAGTGATTGTGGTGTTGAAAACTAAGAAGTGCCAGAAGCAACCGAAAAATTCCCTCCTTCAACCCATTAAATCCTGGTGGAAATTACAATTAATCATCGTCTTTACTGTGTGGAAGAGAATTGGTGTCGCGATGCTTCAGATCAGATGACCCATACATGTAAACAAATACTCACTCACATTTTTAAAACTATACGATATAATACCGTTGTTCAATATATTTACAGATGGGGTTGTAAGAGAAGTGAATGCTCGGGTGTTGGAAGAGGTGTGGGATTAAAAGATAAAGAATCTAACAGTGGGAGTTGTCACAGTTGTTTTTTTGCCGTGGCAAAGGTTGACGGGCAAATTTGGGAGGGTATGTAAAATAAGGAAATTAAAAGTGAACATAGGAAAGAGCAGGGTGATGGGGATAAAAAAAATAGTGAAAGATTGGATATCAATTGGAGGGAGGGAGTATGGAGGAAGTTTGTTCAGATAATCAATATAAAATCTTTATTTTTACAAGTACATGTACAAGGTATACAGACCATAGCTGACATCAGTGACATATTACTATATAGAAAGTACCTTGTTATGCTGAGCATTTCCCGCAAATTAAGTCAATTTTGTCCCAGGATGCGACTCACACCAGTCCACTAACACCCAGGTAACCGTTTTACTGATGGGTGAACAGGGACAACAGGTGTAAGGAAACACGCCCAATGTTTGGGAGTGGACTTGTCAGCAGATGGATCTATGAAAGACGAGGTGAACCATAGAACTGGTAAGGGGAAAATGGCGAGTGGTGCACTAAGTAGTCTGAGGAGACAAACAACGTTATTCATGGAAGCAAAGAGGGAAATGTTTGAGTCTAGTGGTATCAACGCTCTAATATGGTGTAAAATATGGGTTGTGAATGCTGCAGTAAGGAGGAGGCTGGAGGCACTGGAGATGTTGTGTCTGAGGGCACTGTGTGGTGTGAATATAATGCAGAGAATCCGTAACTTGGAGATTAGGAGGTGCGGGGGTACTTAAAGTATTATTCAGAGGGCTGAGGAGGGGTTGTTGAGGTGGTTGGGACATTTAGAGAGGTTGAAACAAAATATAAATCTGTAGTGGAAGGAAGGTAGGGTAGGGGTCGTCCTAGGCAAGGTTGGAGGGAGGGTGTACAGGAGGTTTTGTGTGCGAGGGGCTAAGACATTCAGCAATCATATGTGAGCGTGGAGGCATATGGTTTTTATAACCTGATGAGCTGTTGGAGTGCGAGCAAGATAATGTTTATGAAGGGATTCAGGGAAACCAGTTAGCCATACTTGAGTCCTGGAGGTGGGAAGTACAGTGCTGCACTCTGAAGGAGAGGTACTGATGCTGCAGTTCTTGAACTGTAGTGTTGGCACCCCTCTCACAAGGAGGAATTAACATACCTCCTACGAGGCTCAGGACACCTGAGAGCTTGAAGTAAAATTTCGAAAACAGGCGCCTACACTGTCCACTAAAATACAACGGTGATGAACATTTGAAGCCGATCCCTTGTGACATTCACATATTGCATTAGAACCAATATTTCACATCACAGAACAGGGAGGACTCGAACCCCTGGCAACTTAAATAATACTGATAAAATGATACCTACACAGCCTAAAATATACCAACGTTTAAGGGTTGAAGCCTAATAGATATGTATGTCCATTAATTGCAGGGTAAACTTTAATGTAATAAAATAAAATTAAAACATACTAAGATCAAAATCAATGTGAACCTTTCAATGAGGAAAGCCCAAAGTCGATGATAGTTTGAAGCCTATTAGAAGAAGCGTTATTTAGTAATTGCTTAGGATCCAGAGAATTGAAGTTCATTAACTACGTTAGGAAATTAAAGAACTTGGGTAGGTTAGGTAAGGTAAGGTTAAGCTAGGTTAGGCTAGGTTATGTTAGGTTAGGTTAGGCTAGGCTATGTTAGGTTAGGTTTGGTTAGACTAGGTTAGGCTAGGTTATGTTAGGTTAGGTTAGGCTAGGCTATGTTAGGTTAGGTTAGGTTAGACTAGGTTAGGCTAGGTTAGGTTAGACTAGGTTAGGCTAGGTTCGGTTAGACTAGGTTAGGTTAGGTTAGGTTAGGTTAGGTTAGACTAGGTTAGGCTAGGTTGGGTTAGACTAGGTTAGGCTAGGTTAGGTTAGACTAGGTTAGGCTAGGTTAGGCTAGGTTAGGTTAGGTTAGATTAGGCTAGGTTAAGCTAGGTTAGGTTGGGTTAGGTTAGGTAAGGTAAACAGGACAAGTGCTTTCTGACTCGGGTCTTGGATGATGACCCGCCATTGGAGCTTTTGGTCATCTGACCGAGGCCTTCCGCTGGCTTACCGGTCCACCCCTTTAAAAATTATAGTCAAAGTTCTAATAATTTTTATTAGCACTTGGGGTATCGTTATTGATAATAAAGATACCTAAGTGCTGCACATGTCTAATTTATCAATTAAGGAACAAGAAGGCACAATACCGTGACTGGAACAGTACACAAATAACCCGCACAGAGGAACTAATGGATATATTTTCCTTCGACTTGAACCATTAACTAGTTAATCGTCTAAGTCTGACCGAAACGTCGTCATAAGCTTTTTCTCCTATGTAGTATACACAGTAGTATACACAGTAGTATACACAGTAGTATACACAGACTGCAAGAGTCTTCGACAAGTGTGACCACGGTGTAATATCCTTGACAGTAGACTGTCTACTGTCAAGGATATTGACCGTGTCTACTAGCGAGGATATTGACCGTGTCTACTAGCGAGGATATTGACCGTGTCTACTAGCGAGGATATTGACCGTGTCTGCTAGCGATGATATTGACCGTGTCTACTAGCGAGGATATTGACCGTGTCTACTAGCGAGGATATTGACCGTGTCTACTAGCGAGGATATTGACCGTGTCTACTAGCGAGGATATGACCGTGTCTACTAGCGAGGATATTGACCGTGTCTACTAGCGATGATATTGACCGTGTCTACTAGCGAGGATATTGACCGTGTCTGCTAGCGATGATATTGACCGTGTCTACTAGCGAGGATATGACCGTGTCTACTAGCGGGATATTGACCGTGTCTACTAGCGAGGATATTGACCGTGTCTACTAGCGAGGATATTGACCGTGTCTACTAGCGAGGATATTGACCGTGTCTACTAGCGATGATATTGACCGTGTCTACTAGCGAGGATATTGACCGTGTCTACTAGCGATGATATTGACCGTGTCTACTAGCGAGGATATTGACCGTGTCTACCAGCGAGGATATTGACCGTGTCTACTAGCGAGGATATTGACCGTGTCTACTAGCGAGGATATTGCCGTGTCTACCAGCGAGGATATTGACCGTGTCTACTAGCGAGGATATTGACCGTGTCTACCAGCGAGGATATTGACCGTGTCTACTAGCGAGGATATTGACCGTGTCTACTAGCGAGGATATTGACCGTGTCTACTAACAAGGATATTGACCGTGTCTACTAGCGAGGATATTGACCGTGTCTACCAGCGAGGATATTGACCGTGTCTACTAGCGAGGATATTGACCGTGTCTACTAGCGAGGATATTGACCGTGTCTACCAGCGAGGATATTGACCGTGTCTACTAGCGAGGATATTGACCGTATCTACTAACAAGGATATTGACCGTGTCTACTAGCGAGGATACTGACCGTGTCTACTAGCGAGGATATTGACCGTGTCTACTAGCGATGATATTGACCGTGTCTACCAGCGAGGATATTGACCGTGTGTACTAGCGATTATATTGACCGTGTCTACTAGCTGTCTACTAGCGAGGATATTCACCGTGTCTACTAGCGAGGATATTGACCGTGTCTACTAGCGAGGATATTGACCGTGTCTACTAGCGATGATATTGACCGTGTCTACTAGCGAGGATATTGACCGTATCTACTAACAAGGATATTGACCGTGTCTACTAGCGAGGATATTGACCGTGTCTACTAGCGATGATATTGACCGTGTCTACCAGCGAGGATATTGACCGTGTGTACTAGCGATTATATTGACCGTGTCTACTAGCTGTCTACTAGCGAGGATATTCACCGTGTCTACTAGCGAGGATATTGACCGTGTCTACTAGCGAGGATATTGACCGTGTCTACTAGCGATGATATTGACCGTGTCTACTAGCGAGGATATTGACCGTGTCTACTAGCGAGGATATTGACCGTGTCTACTAGCGAGGATATTGACCGTGTCTACTTGCGATGATATTGACCGTGTCTACTAGCGAGGATATTGACCGTGCTACCACGAGGATATTGACCGTGTCTACTAGCGAGGATATTGACCGTGTCTACTAGCGAGGATATTGACCGTGTCTACTAGCGAGGATATTGACCGTGTCTACCAGCGAGGATATTGACCGTGTGTACTAGCGATTATATTGACCGTGTCTACTAGCTGTCTACTAGCGAGGATATTCACCGTGTCTACTAGCGAGGATATTGACCGTGTCTACTAGCGAGGATATTGACCGTGTCTACTAGCGATGATTGACCCTGTCTACTAGCGAGGATATTGACCGTGTCTACCAGCGAGGATATTGACCGTGTCTACTAGCGAGGATATTGACCGTATCTACTAACAAGGATATTGACCGTGTCTACTAGCGAGGATATTGACCGTGTCTACTAGCGAGATATTGACCGTGTCTACTACGAGGATATTGACCGTGGGTTTCCAGCGAGGATATTGACCGTGTCTACTAGCGAGGATATTGACCGTATCTACTAACAAGGATATTGACCGTGTCTACTAGCGAGGATATTGACCGTGTCTACTAGCGATGATATTGACCGTGTCTACTAGCGAGGATATTGACCGTGTCTACCAGCGAGGATATTGACCGTGTCTACTAGCGAGGATATTGACCGTATCTACTAACAAGGATATTGACCGTGTCTACTAGTATAACTATTAACTCTCCTGGGTCAGCAACAGCACCTACCCAATTCCATCCTGATGGAAGTGTCTACCTGCCGATAGTAATTAAAAGAAAGTTTACAACAAGGTTTTTTTTTAAGCTCTACAACGAGCAAAACATCGTTATAACAAGATTTGTTCTTCGCCTTTGTTCGCTTATTTATACTTATTACAGCTGGTCGTAATGGTACATGACAAAGACACCACAGGATTTGGAAGTCCACACTTAGGCTATATACTAAGAGTAGTAGTAGTCGTGGTAGTAGGGGTAGTCGTAGTAATAGTATTAGTTGTGGTAGTAAAGGTAGTCGCAGTAACAGTAGTAGTGGTAGTAGTAATGGTTGTATATTAACTAGTAATTGAAGACGGCTTTTAAAGAGTCATACAGACCTCGGGTAATGGGAGACATCCAGGTTTTATCCGACGGACGGGATAAGTAGCTTCAATTTTTTTTTCAACCAGAGTCCTTCAGTAATATAAAGGCACCTCTCTTGAAGGACGTGAAGGCAGCGTCCACTTACCGTGTACAGATCAGGAGTCTCAGAGATGGTCGCCGCCTGGCTGTCCTCAGAGGCGTCCCTTTCTCTCAGTTTCCTGTAGGAGGCGAAGCGGTCTGCCTTGGAGGCTCTGGAGCCCCAGCGGTCGAGCACATCGCTGACAGCTCGGCTATAGTCCTTCTGGAACCCACGAAAGAAGTCATCCTGAGAGAAGAGCCCCCTCCGAGTGATGGGCAACCTGAAGCCCTCCCTCAGGAGCTCGCTTGCTAGGGACATCCTGAAGCAGGTGTCGCACTTCACTAGAAACACTTCAAGGTTACACTCCCAGGAGCAGTGCTGAAGTGGTTCTTCCCTCTCTAGGTGACGACTAACTCCCCTCACCTGCACACACACTGCTTAAACCTCACCTCACCTGGCACAGTGCCTGCCCAGCTGCTCTGTCTGCCATGTTGTGGTGACGCAATCCACAAGGCAACAACAGTTTCCAGTAACTTTCAGTATTATTTAACTGCATTTTTTAATGAAGAATGCATACCCACAAGTTAGACAGGGATCTCCAACTTTGCCGTCCACACAGAAATAATGTACGTGGAAGCATGTGTAACGTAACAGATATGTGGGTGAGTCACACCGGTTAGCCAGCCACATCAGCTTAAAATAACATTACAGACCCCCGTCTCAGATCTGCCTTGCTCTTGTAAAGGCTATGCCTGACTACCTCACATACGTTCTCTGGGAAAAACCTATCTATCCCAGGAATGCTACACCTCACATACGTTCTCTGGGAAAAACCTACCTATCCCAGGAATGCTACACCTCACTTACGTTCTCTGGGAAACACCTACCTCTCCAAGGAATGCTACACCTCGTATGAGAGACTTCTGGGAAGTTAGACTACTACTGTACATATATTATCAGTGAAAAACACAGGCTTCACAAATCACCATCTCTGAATTTAATTGTTTAATGTCTTGATGACTGTTGTTGCTTGATATGAGAGAGGTATTGTTAGCATCCCATAATCCCAGCCCCTCAAGGGAGGTTCCTTGATGTTGGTACCCTCAAGGGAGGTTCCTTGACGCTGGTACCCTCAAGGGATGTTCCTTGACGCAGGTACCCTCAACGGAGGTTCCTTGACGCAGGTACCCTCAAGGGAGGTTCCTTGACGCTGGTCCCTTCAAGGGAGGTTCCTTGACGCTGGTCCCTTCAAGGGAGGTTCCTTGACGCTGGTCCCCTCAAGGGAGGTTCCTTGACGCTGGTCCCTTCAAGGGAGGTTCCTTGACGCTGGTCCCCTCAAGGGAGGTTCCTTGACGCTGGTAGCCTCAAGGGAGGTTCCTTGATGCTGGTACCCTCAAGGGAGGCTCCTTGACGCTGGTCCCTTCAAGGGAGGTTCCTTGACGCTGGTCCCCTCAAGGGAGATTCCTTGACGCTGGTCCCTTCAAGGGAGGTTCCTTGACGCTGATCCCTTCAAGGGAGGTTCCTTGATGCTGGTCCCTTCAAGTGAGGTTCCTTGACGCTGATCCCTTCAAGGGAGGTTCCTTGACGCTGATCCCTTCAAGGGAGGTTCCTTGACGCTGATCCCTTCAAGGGAGGTTCCTTGACGCTGATCCCTTCAAGTGAGGTTCCTTGACGCTGATCCCTTCAAGTGAGGTTCCTTGACGCTGATCCCTTCAAGGGAGGTTCCTTGACGCTGATCCCTTCAAGTGAGGTTCCTTGACGCTGATCCCTTCAAGGGAGGTTCCTTGACGCTGATCCCTTCAAGTGAGGTTCCTTGACGCTGATCCCTTCAAGTGAGGTTCCTTGACGCTGATCCCTTCAAGTGAGGTTCCTTGACGCTGATCCCTTCAAGTGAGGTTCCTTGACGCTGATCCCTTCAAGTGAGGTTCCTTGACGCTGGTGAGGGGCTCTTGTTCTAGGAAATTGGATCTGTGTCCGGTTCCCTGAATTGAGCCTGAATACCTTCCATCCCCCCCCCACATGCTCTGTATAATCCTAATGGTTTAGCGCTCCCTCATGATTATAATAATTAGTAACCGTAGGATTAAAGATTCATTGTGACATGTCAAGATATCTTTTTAATGAAAATAAGATACCAGATATACTAAGGAAATTTCTTAAACTTGCTTGTAACAGGTAAGTAAACTGTAGATATAAATCCAGATGTGCTCCTGTTAACCCTTTTGGGGCCTAGTTCCTAGGCGTTTTGTGTATCCATATGCTCTTGTGCAACTATCCATAGGATGGATATGGGGTGCACAATAAATTAGCCACTTCGGTGGCAAAATTTAATCTAAACTGGTTAAACTACCGCTTGTTTTATTGGGTCGTTCTGGAGCGTCATTGTACTTAGCTTGTCACCAGTGATCCTCGATTCTAATTGCTTCGTCCTTTACGCACATAAGGTTGTGACTGGCTGACAATTACGCTGCTACGTTAGACGGTACCTGGCTGAACATACCAGGACTCGTACACTCTGGCTACTGTGTAGACTAGACTTATGTGAGGGCTCAGTTTCCTGACCCTTCGTTCCGCTATAACCTGCAGTGTTTCTCGCTCTTGGCGTATTTGCCAGTGTTCTTGGGTGTTCCTGCTTCCTTTGACGTCCTTCAGATCGTGTGTCATCCACGGAAGTGGTCTTCCTTGAAGCCGTCCTGAGAGGGAAGGGATGGTCGAGCAGAGTATCAGTCAAGCAGAAGGCAAACGTAACTTGGTGAGATCATTTTGTTTACGTTAGACCTAACACTGGTCATTACTTACTCAGTATGTACACAATACACAAATATCCCGAACATAGAAGAGAGAAGTTTATGATGTTTGGGTCCGACTTGGACCATTTACAAGTCACGCTAACACACGAGAATAAGGGAGTTAGTGTATACATGGACGAGGGAGACAGGTACGGGACAGTTGAGAGGTAGTAGTAAGCTCCTCGTGTATCTTGGTAGTTTTTTTTTTTTTAGATTACTATACATTCGAGGGTTTTAACCCATGCGAGTACACATGTACTCGCACCCTTAAGCTGGCTTTAGTGGCTCGTGGCCTGGTAGGCAGTGCTCTCGCTTCACACGCTGAGAGTGCGGGTTCGATTCCCGGCAAGAGTAGAAACAGGCGTTTTTCCTTACACCGGTTGTCCATATTCACCCATCAGTAAAATAGGTACCTGGGTGTTAGTGGACTGGTGTGGGTCGCATCCTGGGACAAAACTGACCTAATTTGCCCGAAATGCTCAGCATAACAAGCGGCTTTCTATATAGTAGTATGTCATTGATGTCAGCTATTGTCTCTTGATCTAGGGAATTGCATCTGTGATTCAGTTCCCTGAATTAAGCCTGAATACTCTCCACAACCCCCCCCCCACAGACGCTATATAATCCTACGGGTTTAGCGCTTCCCCTTTATAATAAATTATATTATACTCGCGATACTTGTGTGTTACCTTTCAAACTTGCCATGATTGTGACCAGATCTACCTGGAGTTCATTACCTTTGTAACTAGTTCAGCTATCATAACTTTGAGGTCCAGTCCCCGGACCCATTATGTACCTCTGTAATCTGGAAATAAATGGTATAAAATACCGACACAATGGAAATATAAACACAAATGCAGTATAATGTGATCCTTTATTGACTACGTTTCGCCCACACAGTGGGCTTTTTCAAGTCACAAACAGAACTACCTGGGGTGGGCGAAACGTAGTCAATAAAGGATCACATTATACTGCATTTGTGTTTATATTTCCACCTCTGTAATCTCTTGACTACCGCCCACACCATGGGTATGAGGCACATAACAAAGATGTTAAACTAACTCAAGGTCCTGGTTACAAGTCTGTGATGTATCTTCTGGTTCCCAGTTATTTATCTAAATTGTTTGTATTGGTATATCACTGTAGTTTATATACATATATTCATTGCACCCAGTACGAGTGTACTTTAAGTAGGTACCTGGGTGTTAGTGACCTTAAACCTGTAATAAAGTTGGTAGAATTACCGACAATATGTAAAGTAAAAGGACACAAGTGCAACTAATGTGACATTTATTGTGGCAACGTTTCGCTCTCCAGGAGCTTTATTAATGGTAATGGCTTGATAAAGCTCCTGGAGAGCGAAACGTTGCCACAATAAATGTCACATTAGGTGCACTTGTGTCCTTTGACCTTAAACCTGCTGTCCCTGTTCACCTAGCAGTGAGTAGGTACCTGGGTGTTAGTCGATTGTAGTATTTAGCATCCCACAGGATATAATAATATAACTTTATCTGCTACAAGTACAAAGTATACAGACCATAGCTGACATCAGTGACATACTACTTTATAGAAAGTCCCTTGTTATGCTGAGCATTTCCCGCAAATTAGGTCAGTTTTGTCCCAGGATGCGACCCACACCAGTCCACTAACACCCAGGTACCCATTTTACTGATGGGTGAACATGGACAACCGGTGTAAGGAAACACGTCCGATGTTTCCACCCCTTCGCCGGGAATCAAACCCGGACCCTCGCCGTGTGAAGTGAAAGCCTTCGCCCCCAGGGTAAGACTTGCAGATGAACTCTCCTTACCTTACCAGTGTACAGCAGTTGGCTGGTTTACAAATGCCATGCATCACACGTATCAAAGTTGGTGGTGATTAGGTAAGGTTTGTCAGGAAACAGGACAAGTGTTTCCTGACGCGGGTCCTAGTCAAATGACGACCCGCCTTTGGAGCTTTGGTCATCTAACCGAGACCTTCCGCTGGCTTACCGGTCCACCCCTTTAAAAATTATGGTCATTTATAACCATTTTAATTAAGATAAGATAAGATTTCGTTCGGATTTTTAACCCCGGAGGGTTAGCCACCCAGGATAACCCAAGAAAGTCAGTGCGTCATCGAGGACTGTCTAACTTATTTCCATTGGGGTCCTTAATCTTGTCCCCCAGGATGCGACCCACACCAGTCGACTAACACCCAGGTACCTATTTACTGCTAGGTGAACAGGACAACAGGTGTAAGGAAACGTGTCGAATGTTTCCACCCGCCGGGAATCGAACCCGGGCCCTCCGTGTGTGAAGCGGGAGCTTTAGCCACCAGGCCACCGGGCCAGTTAGTGGTAATTAGTTGGTGGCGAGATAGGTTTGCTTTATGCATGATTCCCATTTAAAATTCCAGTAAACTCCAGGTAAATTTGTGTTATTTATAGAAAATATAACAATGAAAGAGAAACTAACACATGAGGTAACATGGTTATATTATCAAGCAAAACATAGTCTATAATAGAAATATGTGAGTATATACATATGGTAGGTAAGACACATAGGCAACAGTTAGGCAACTTTATTCCGAAACGTTTCGCCTGCTCAGCTATCAAAACTTTGGAGTCCAGTCCCTGGACCAATTATGTACCTCTGTAATCTTTTG